GAGACTTCCTCCAAATTCAAGCTTGAGGAGCCCAAAAGTGACGACAGTTACATGATTCCGATGACCCGCTCGGATTACCAACATGATCTGCGGGCCCCATAGGGAGGGAGCTCCCGCCTGAGACGTCCTCCCAATTCACTCAGAGACGAGGCTCCCGCCTGAGACTTCCTCAATTTTCAAGCCTGGGGAGCTCAAAAGTGACGACAGTTACAGGATTCCGATGACCCGCTCGGATTACCAACATGATCTGCGGGCCCCATAGGGAGGGGGCTCCCGCCTGAGACTTCTTCACAATTTACTCAACGATGATGAGGGTGAGGATGATGAGTGGTGGTGAAGATGAGTGGTGAAGAGGATGATGATTGATTGTGAGTCGTGGTGGCGATGATGATGTTTGAATGATCTTGATGATGCCGATGATGATGATGATGATGATGATGATGATGTTCATGAGCGTGTGAGAGAGTGCGAGTGGCGATGATGATGAGTATGTGAGTGACTAAGCATGTGAGAGAGCATCATCGATAATGCTGATGAGGTTGATGATGAGAGAGCGTGAGTGAGTGTGAGTGGGTGTGTGTGTGTGTGTTCCTGTTCCTGCGCGGGGTGTCCTGAGAAACCAAGAACCCCACTTTGGATGTGGGGAAGAAGAAGAAATAGTAGTAGTAGTAGTAGTAGTAGTAGTAGTCTTCGTCGTCGTGGTCGTCGCACTAGTCGCAGTAACAGTCGACATAGCTGCCGCAGTAGTAGTATTAGTAGTAGTAGTAGTATTAGTAGTAGTGTAGTAGTAGTAGTAGTAGTAGTAGTAGTAGTAGTAGTAGTAGTAGTAGTAGTCGTAGTCGTAGTAGTAGTAGTAGTAGTAGTAGTAGTAGTAGTAGTAGTAGTAGTAGTAGTGGTGGTGGTGTGGTGGTGGTGGTGGTGGTGGGTGGTGGTTGGTGGTGGTGGTGGTGGTGGTGGTAGTAGTAGTAGTAATTGTAGTAGTAGCAGTAGGTGTATTAGTAATTGTAGTAGTAGTAGTAGTAGTAGTAGTAGTAGTAGTAGTAGTACGTAGTAGACGTAGTCGTATTAGTAGCAGTAGTAGTAGTAGTAGTAGTAGTAGTACGTAGTAGACGTAGTCTTATTAGTAGCAGTAGTAGTGCGAGCAGCAGTACTAGCAAAAGGAGTCGTAATAGTCGTCGTAATAGTCGTCGTCGTTGTCGTCGTCTTCGTCGTCGTCTTCGTCGTCGTCTTCGTCGGCGTCTTCATCGTAGTAGTAGAAGTAGGAGTAGTAGAGGCAGTAGTAGTGGCAGTAATAGTAGTAGTAGTAGTAGTAGTAGTAGTAGTTGTAGTAGTAGTAGTAGTAGTAGTAGTAGTAGAAGTAGTAGTGGTAGTGGTAGTAGTAGTAGTAGTAGTAGTAGTAGTAGTAGTAGTAGTAGTAGTTGCAGTGCAGTAGTAGTAGTAGTCGTAGTCGTAGTCGTAGTAGCAGTAGCAGTAGTAGTAGTAGTCGTAGTAGTAGTAGTAGTAGTAGTAGTAGTAGTCGTAGTAGTAGAAATAGTAGTCGTAGTAGTATTAGTATCAGTAGTAGTAGTAGTAGTAGTAGTAGTAGTAGTAGTAGTAGTAGTAGTAGTAGTAGTAGTCGTGGTAGTAGTAGTAGTAGTAGTAGTAGTAGTAGTAGTAGTAGTAGTAGTGGTCGCAGCAGTACTTGTAGTATTAGTCGTAGTCATGCGAAGGAGCATGAGGAGCAGCAGCTGCGCCAGCAGCAGAAGCTGATGCGCGCGCAGCGAGTTTGCTGGCCGCCGCCCAGGTTTGGCCCGGGGGCCCGAAGCGAATCCCTACGCCGCGTCGCGATCGCCCCCATCGCCCTCCTCGCGCTCATCTACCGTCTCCTCCTCCTCTTCTCCTCCCTCGCCCGTTCAGTCTTCACAGTCCTCCTCTCTTCTTCTCGGGGCCTGCTGGTTTGGCTCACCATGAGATGCCCGATATACGAGAATCTGCTCATCGCTTCCTCTTCCTGCACGCCGCTCGCGGCCCTTCCTCGGCCGTTCTTGTTCCTCCTCTCTGACTTCTCCTTCTGCTTCTGCTTCCGATGCTCTCCGGTTTCTCCTGCACCTGTCCCGCTTGCCGTTGGTGCTGCTTCTCACCACCCCATTTGTATTCCTCCAGTTCTTCCTCCGTCTTCTCCTGCCCTTGCCCCGAATGCTCTTCCTCCGACTCCTCCAGCACCTGTTCCGCCTGCACTTGCTGCTGCTGCTGCTGTACACCCTCTTGTCCTCCTCCGCTTCCTACTCCATCTCCGACGTCTTCTCCTGCTGTTGCCCCTGGAGCTCGTCTTCCGACTCCTTCTGCACCTGCTACGTCTGCCGATGCTGCCGCTGCTGCTCACCCCTCTCTTGCTTGACACCCGCAGCGGCGTGGCGTTTTCTAGCCCACAAAGCGTGAAACCCGAGCCCCACCCCATCTTCCCCAAGCGATCCAGCTTCACGCTCATGTGATCAACCTGAGGGATTCGTGCTGCAGTTCGTCCCTCACCTGTGCGACATGGTGAGGGCATTTGATCGCGGCACCTCCTTTACCCACAGCAGTTTTGCGTTGTCGATTGGGCCCACGATGGTCTGGCTCCCTCTCCGCATAGAAGGCCGCCGTGCCGTGGGCATCAGCTCTTTGCCGACGCGGAGGCGCCCAACAACTCCCCCCTGGGCAGGGCGCCCCCGCGACGGAGCAGGCGACAGGCCGTGCCCGTGCTGCCGCGTCTTGCGCCGCCAGTCCCCCGCCCCTCGCCCGATGAGCGGCGGCCGCCGCTGTCGCGCCCGCCGTGCCCGCCCCCGGCCCCGAGCTGAGGCCGCCCCGCGCGGGAGCGCTGGGCGCGGCGGCGCGCGCGGCCGACGGCCGTCCTCGGCGTCGACATGGACGGCGACGTCGGCGGAGGCGGCGGCGGCGTCGGCGGCGATGCGGGCGGCCCGCTGCTCGGCGAGCGCGCGCGGGGCCACGCGCAGCACAGGGCCGCCGCCGCCCCTCGGCAGGCCCTCGGCCGTGGAGGTCCTCGACGCCGCCACGGCCTCGACCGCGGAGGTGGCCGAGCGCTTCGTGGGCCCCGGGCGGCCCTGCGTGCTGCGCGGCTGCGAGGCCGTGCCGCGCTGGACGCCAGAGGACCCGCCTGGCTCAGTCGGCTAGGACGAGGATGCATCCGTTCCAGAGCGTTGCGGGACGCTTTCAGAGCGTCCGGAACGCTTTGAGAAGGCCGCGGCGTCCGAGACGTCCTCCAGAGCGACCAGATCTCAGAGATTCTCGATTTCTCTTCACCCGAATTTCTCATCGTCATGGCTTCGTCTTACTCAGATCTGCATCGTACAACCTGTCCCCATCCCGACAAGGCCATGGCATCGCAGCCCCACCGGCCGAGCTTCCTGTCTTGGGATGGGCCCCGCGAAGCCCGAAGGAATGGGTGTACAGATATCCACCAAGGTTGGTATGTCGGCCAGTGGGGCCAGGGCCACGCAAGAAGGGAGAGGGATCGGTCAACCTATGCTTATCAGAGGGCTCTTGCCTGGCTGTCTTCTGGCTTACAGCCAAGACGCTGAAGTAAGGCAGTGTCGGAATGGCTTATTGCGGATCTTCAGATCTTCAGGTCTTTCTCCTCGTTGCTTTTTCTAGTGCTCCTCGAGCACCCATGCGCGTGTGGGACCAACACATGTCTGTTCTCGTTCTGTCCCGTCCCTTCTTTCATCAGCTTGACTGTGCAGGCCAGCCTGTTCCTTGAAAGTTTTTACATGTGGGGTCTCCCGGCTTCTAAGATACGTCATCATGTTTTCTTCGATGAGCAAAGGTTTCGTTGTGTAGCCGCCTGTTGATTGGGCGCGCCAAAGCCCAATGAACTGTAACCACCTTCTCCCTTCCGAGCGGGCGGCCTGTCAGCTTAGGCGCACGGTGGAAACCTCGAGGGCCAAGCCTCACACTCGTACGGGAAAGAGTCGTATGTTTTAACGAGCGTTTCACGGAGGACCAAGGTTGCAAGGGAGGCTCTCAGCCTGCAGCACCTTCCGGGGCTGTCGGCAGCTTGACGTGGGTTCGCCCCCAGCGTACAGTGGAAACCCGTGCCAAGCAACACCCTGCTTACTTCCAGGGTGCCCTGGGTTTTGGGGATTTCGATGGTTTTGCGATGAAGCGCGTAACGTTCCCACACCACAAATCGATCGACGTCTTGGGGTCTCGGGGTTGGGTTTCTGGTGGAAGGTTTCTTGTGGTCGAGCTCCTGTTGTATGTCGAAGGCGGGTGTCGAGGGTGAGGCCGCGTGGACCTCTGGCCGAGAAGTGCTTCGGCGCGGTGCCCCGAGCGGGGAGGCCAGGCCCAGTGCGTGTACCCCGGTGCCCGCGGGGGGCATTGAGACCTCATGGAGGCGAGGTCGAGGCCGACGCTCCGACGGACGGCAAGCGCTCGAGGCTCTGGTGCCGAGTGCCGGGAAGCCTTGCAGTCGGGAGAGAGTCCCCGGATCGGTGCAACAGGGGGCGGAGGACGAGGAGAAGGAGGAGGGAGAAAGGTTGGCGGAGGAGGGGGAGGAGACATAGCAGGAGAAGCAGATGCACGAATCCGGCAGTCCATAGATTTGGTTGAAACAAACAGTTCTCTCAGAGCGAATCATGTAAGCAGTTTTCGTGTGAGCAGTTTCAATGTAGAGATCATCTAAACCCGACGCGCAAAGCCAAGTGAGGCTTAGAACGGGCTAGAAGCCAGCTAAGTGCAAGGGGAGGTAGCTGTCACATGCGACAGCGTATTCATTTCATTGCCCTGATTTGAGCAGTTGCTTTGCTCTGCGTTGCGTTATTTCTTTGTGCGGCCTCTTTCATTGCAATGCCTGTTTCGCTCTGCTGTGTTATGCTGTGCTTTGACTTGTCGATGATCCACGTATTTCAAGCATCCCATGCAGAAGTGATGCCCACGCACGCTGCCTTGACCAGGAAAGTGTAGCAGCATGCACTCACACAAGCGGTAAGGGAGCTGTCGAAACAAATCTCGGTAGCAGCCTGGGAGGAGGAGGATGGCGAGAAAAGGAACAATAATGCGACAGAATGCGTTCCCACTTAACTTCTGCTGAACCTTCGGTGGCAGAAGGGGAAGACACCCGATGATGAGGAGGAGCGGGAGGGGGATGGTACGAACGAGGATTAACAGGAGGAGGAGGAGGAGGAGGAGGTTGGCGGAGTAAGAGGAGCAGAATGGGGAAGGAAGAAAGCAGTGACGTCGCCGTCGACGACGGCGACGACGACGACGACGAGTCAACCAGAAAGGCGCGGATATTTGGTTCCCCGAATTTCTTGGAGACATCTTGGGGTCCCATTGGGGCAATTTGAATGTTTCTGCAACCATATTGGGGATATGTGGGGGGGGCATCACTGGGACCTTGAGGGACATACTGGGGCCGTCGTCCACGCCATCGATCAACAACGGTGGTAATTACCTGGCCCCCTCGGAGTCCGAAACATCGTCTCATTGTGCTCTTCTTGGACGCTCTTGGAGCGCTTGGAGCCACTATAGGCTTCTCTGGGGGCTCCTTTGGGCTTTGAGTCATTTTGAAGGCTGGCCCCGAGAGGCCAAACACATTCAAACATTAAAGTTGTTCAGTTATGTTGGCCTTCCCTTGTTCCTGCGTGCGATTGGCGACTTAGGTCTTCAATGCGGCCCAGGGGGAGGCCCAAGAAGCGCCCATAAAAGGGCCCAAGACGGGCCCAGATGCCCCCATGAGGATTTCAAAATCTCTCGAAGAGGGCCCGAGGACAGTTCTAAACCGCGCAATTGGTAACGATACTGTTCACCTGTACTTGGCACCAGGCCGGTCGCAAGCCCCAGGAGGGACCCCCAGGCTCGAAGGAGTCCCACAAGAGCCCCCACAGCGCCCAAGCAGAGCTCCAACATGGCCAGAGCACCCCCCCCAAAGACACCCGCGGGGGGGGTGAGGGGACGCCAAAGAGGAGACACAAACCGCCTCTTGGGGCCCTCTCGGGACGCGGTTGGCGCGCTCTTGCAAATTCTTGGGGCAGTTTTTGGGCCGTCTTGGGGCCCTCTCGAAGCTCTCTCGGGGACCTGTTGGGAGCCCTGGAGGGCCTCTTGAGGCCACGCCATCGATCAAAGGAGGGGGTCTCATAGTTTCCCCCGCTGCAAGAGTCCCACGAGCCCCCCCCCCACCCTCAAAGCCGAGGCTCCGTGCCTGGCGTCATTCTCTTCGAAGTGGGCCAGGGGCGGCCAATGCGCCAGGCTGCGGGCCACACCCAGTCCGCAGCCACGGGGCGGGGTGTTGCGGCGTGGGCGTTCCCTGGCAAAGAGGGGGGTGATGTCTAGGGGAGGGTGAGTATCATGGCCATGATTTTTCCCTAGATTTCATGGCGCCTCTTCTTATTTCATTACGTCCATGGCCCCCCGCTGGGCCGCGCACTTGCCTCCGGTCATGATTTGCACCCCCCCCTTTTGGACACCACCCTCTTGGCCGCTCCCGACACTTGGACACTTAGCGCCCGACGAGGGAGCTGGAACTGGCGTGCCCACGCCTCCAAGGCGGCAGAGGACGGCCAGAGTCGACAAGGCAACGCGAGACGAGACAAGACAAGACGCGGCGCGACCTGACAATCCACGCCACGACAGCCTTCTGGTCGGTCCAAGATGACCCCAGGACGCCCCAAGAGGGTCCCCGAGAGGCCAAACTCCTTCAAACGTTAAGGTCTTTGGAGGAAGACAACGATTTGGAGGATGTGTGACTTGATATGAGCTCCATCGGTCATCAGTAGCATTCTTCATTACCGTTTCTCCGCTGAACAAAATAGTATTTCAAAACCTGAGTTGCCTTGCCTTCTCGCCATTTTGCTGCGATGGGCTCTTGATGCCCCGAAATAGGCCAAGAGAGCCCCAAGACGGGCCCACGAGGGGCCCAACACGGCCCTAGAGGACCCCAAGAGTGCCCCAACAGAGCCCCAAGAGGACCTCAAGAGGGCCCCAAGAGGTTCTAAATCGCGAAAAGGCAGACAAGACCACCCGTACATGATGCCACGCTTGCCCCAAGAGTGTTCCAGGAGGTTGCTTGTGCCCCACAAGAGGCCCCGAAGCGGCCCCTGCGCGGCCCTCAGGAGGCTTCGTTAGGCGGGGGAAGCCTTCTGACGCGGGTTAAGGCGAGCGGGAAGCGCCCCAAACCACCGAAACCCAGAGGGCTGGTAGGTTTCCATTGTCATGCATCGCATTGCGTTGCGTTGCATTTGTTTCACAACGCGTTGGCTCCATCCACATAGACGTCTCTCCTTCTGTTGCTTTACTTGGCTGCGCGTTGATTCACACTTCTTTGCATTGCCTTGCACCGACTCTCGTTGTACTGGATTGCGTTTGCGCTGCGTAGCTTTGCCCTTCAGGGGGGAGGCCCGCGAGGAACGGAGGGGACGCCTTATGGACTGGAGGGGGGCTTCAGGCGCCATTGGCCACCTCGCTCAGAAGAATTTAGGACTTTTGGATCTCTTGGACCTAATCTTGACAGCGAATAATTCTGGGCTCTGGGAAACCGAACGTTACGGTCACGGTTGGACAGCTCGGACCGCGACGCCAATTGCAGTCCAGGGGGCTCGGGCGCATGGGTGTTCAAGGAACCATGACGGGAAATTCAGCAGGTCAAGTGTTCTACATGGAGAGCTTATAGACGTGGCGCAAGCCATCGTAGTTTTTGACCTCACCTTGGATTGCCATGCGCTGCTCGTGAAGCTGAACAGAAAGGAGGCCAATGTCTTTCAACCAATTACGTCAGCAGGATGACGCCACTGACGTGGCAGTGCGCGAGTGGTCACACATGGAGCTCCAGTTCGGCAAGTGTGCGCCGAGGCTCCTGGTGCCCGCGTTGCAGACGCAACCAACGAGGCCTTGCTCAGAACGATGTCGCGAGGAGAGCAGCTTCTCTGCGGGATGGACGATGCCTTTCGGACCGAGTCGTGTCCGGAATTGTACTTTAGTGTTGGCTTGAGCGAGGCGCGGCGTCAAGCGGCGCACAAGGGCGGCTCGTGCGCGTCAACGCGTTACTCTGGCATCCACAGCCCTTTGCGTTGGAGGTGCAGTGAAGGACACGAATGGGAAGCTTATACATATAACGGCGCACCGGGTCCGGGGGCCCGGGGCCGGGACCCCGACCACAAATGTGGGCTCCGGGGGGCCCGGAGGCTCGTCGGACTGCCGGACGCCGTCCAAGATCGTTCGCAGGCGGCTTCGAAACGCGCTCCGATGGCTCCAGATGCCTTCCAAGACGCCTGTCATGACACCAAGAAGGTCCCAGAAGCCTCCAAGACGCTCCGAGAGGCAGCCCAAGAGAGGCCCAAGAAGCAAAAATCGTGCCATTCCTATGGGAAAACGTATATTTTTCGCATGTTCGCCTCTTGGGTTTTCACCGCGTCCAAGACGGCCCAAGAGGCGCCCAAGACGGTCTACGAGGCCTCCGGGAGCGCTCCAAGGCTGCGCACGAGTGTCCCAGGACGGCCCCAAGACGGCCGAAGAGAGCCCCAAGACGAGTTCGAGAGGGGTCCCAGACGGAGAAAGCCAACCTCGAATTCCGAGCTTCCGGCCCAAGAGGCTCCAGGAGGCGCCAAAATGCCGCCAAGAGGCGCCAAAAGGCTCCCAAAAGCACCCCAAGACGTTCCGAGAGGCACCCCAAGAGAGGTCCAAGAAACAAAAATCGTGCCATTCCTATGGGAAAACGTATATTTTTCGCATGTTCGCATCTTGGGCTTTCACCGCGTCCAAGACGGCCCAAGAGGCCTCCAAGACGGCCTAGGAGGCCTCCGGGAGCGCTCCAAGGCTGCGCACGAGTGGCTCAGGACGGCCCCAAGACGGCCCAAGAGAACCCCAAGACGACTTCGAGAGGGGTCCCAGAAGGAGAAAGCCACTCTCGAATTCCGAGCTTCCGGCCCAACATATCCCAGGAGGCGCCAAAACGCCGCCCAGAGGCGCCAAAAGGCTTCCAAAATCAGCCCAAGACGTTCCGAGAGGCACCCCAAGAGAGGTCCAAGAAACAAAAAACGTGCCACTCCTATGGGAAAACGTATATTTTCCGCATGTTCGCATCTTGGGCTTTCACCGCGTCCAAGACGGCCCAAGAGGCCTCCAAGACCGCCCCAAGACGGCCCAAGAAGCTTCCAAGAGGGCCCCAGGACAGCCCAAGAGGGCCCCAAGACGGCCCAAGAGGCGCCTAAGATGGCCCAAGAGGGCCCCAAGACGGGCCCAAGAGGGGGCCCAGAGGGGGACCACGAACCGCAAGCTCGAGCCTTCCGCCCCAAGAGGCCGCCAGGAGGCCCCAAGGAGGCCCCTCAAGAGGCCCCAGGAGACCCCCAAGAGGCCCAAAGGAGGCCCCGAGAAGCCCCAAATCGGCCCCCAAAATGCTTCGAACCTGCTTCCAGGAGGCCCCCGACAGGTTCAGAGGCTCCCGAGAAGCTACGTCAAACTCCCAGCGAGCGGCCGGACGAGGCCCCCCACAAAATCACAAGAGGGTTCCAGTATTTGTATCCTTCAGCGCTCTCTGGCCTTCTTCCCCCTGCCCCCTTCCCTGCGACTTTCGTTGACTCAAGCTCGCCTCCTAGCTAGAACCTAAGCGCGCGCGAAGCGCGCGCGTGGTTCTAGTCATTGTATAAGGTCAAACTTAATCAGATGTGGTGCAGGTCGTGTCTCTCCAACAATATTGGTGCTTCGCAGTTGGATCGAGCTGCATTTTCAGCTCGCCAGCGTGGAGGTCAATGCGCTTCCACAGTTTATGTGAACATCAAATCGCCTCTGAGTTGGCGTTGCAGTGAAGGCCACGAGTGGACTACTTCGTTGCACACAATACAACACAACAAATCGTGGTGTCCCATTTGTGCCGTGTCTGCGCTCCGTCTGACGATCGACGATGCCAGGCGAGTAGGTGAAATGCGGGGTGGAATTTGCTTGTCGGAGCAGTTTGTAAGTGTGAAGTCCCCCTTGCGTTGGAGATGCGCCGAGGGACACGAATGGCGAGCCCCATTGAACCACATTCGGTACAGCAACACTTGGTGTTCACAGTGTGCTTCTGGTAGCAGCGAAAGGCATACGCGCATTATTTTCGAACGGATTTTCTCGGACGCGCAATTTCCGAGGTGCCGCCCCGATTTTCTTCTGGGCAGGCTTGGACGCAATCTTGAGTTGGACGGCTATTGTGCAAGCCTCGGGCTTGCGTTCGAGTGCAACAGAGAGCAACACTACGTGAAAAACAACTCTTTCAACGGATCTCCAACGGGAAATGGGTGCAAGTCGAGATATGAGACACTTCAACAGCGTGACAGTTTGAAAGAGGAGTTGTGCCGATCTGTTGGGGCAAAGCTTCTCATTGTCTCCTTCTGGATCAAGGATCGGTGGAGTTACATTCGCACATGTTTGCTGCAGTGGTTCCCAATTTCAAGATCCTTCCGAACGCCGCTCCAAGCTTGACGCTTTCTCCTCTTCCTCGTTCTCCTCCCCTCCTCGTCCCCCTTCTCGTCACCCATCACCCTCTTCGCGCAGGGCAGCTAAGAACACCCCGTCAGTGCGGGCTACGCAAGGGAAACATGTGCCGCCGTAAACAACCAGATGGGGGCCATTTCCGACTGCCCGCTGGAGACGTTGGGGTGCGCGCGGTCATTTGCAGCGGGCTCGAGGCCGTGCCCTTGGACGCCGACCCGTCGCGGGGTCTGCGGGCTGCGCAACGAGGTGCTAGCGGGCCGAGACGTGGCGGATGCACAGCAGCAGGTGGACCTTCCTCACGGAGGCGGAGCTGCGCGACAGCGCGACCGGTGTTGCGCGCGGTGTCTTCAGCTGAAGACGAGCAAGTCGGCTAAGATCTGGTGCGCGATTGCACACGCTGGAGGGCCACGAGGGCGCGGCAGTGTCCCTTGCCGCTGGAGGAGCAGGGGACGGTGACCGTCTCGGAAGGCCGCATGGTTCCGAAGAGCTGGTCCGTGCTCTCTAGGGGGGCACACGACTGTGCCTCTTGCTGGTCGGGCAGGAGGCGACTACCGCCTCGGATGGCCGCGCTGGTGGTCTCCTGGGAGCACTTCCGCGTGACGCAGAGCTGCCAGGACAAGGCAGAGCCCGTTGCGTTCTCGCCGCTGTGGGCCCGCTCCAGGCCTCCTTCCCCTCCAAAGGTGTGCTGGGCGTTGCCCCCGGTTTTCTTGATGGAGGCTGGGCTTCGCCCCCCCCCTGTTTGTGCACGGGTGCGGTGGTCACATGTCTGTGTCAGTCACGAGAAGAGCAGCCTAGGATCACGACCTCCGACCTCTTCTCGACCGGGAGTTCGAAGGCGACTCGGGCCGCGGCGACAGGGCCTCCGTACCCCGAGATCGGGGAGAGAACCGCCAAAATCCACGGTGTTTCCCTCTTGCTCTTCATCCTTGTCGCCCTCCTTCCTCTCATCCTCCTCCATCCTTCTCTGCCTCCTAGTTGTAACCCTATTATTCCTGCGCCTCTTCTTCCTCCTCTCCTCCTATCCTTCCGCTTCTCCCTCTCCTCCTTCCTTCCTTCCTCCTCCATGTCCTTCTCCTGCCCAGGCTGGGCGAGAAATAAAGGAATACCTCCTCCTCCACCTCCTCCTCCTCCTCCTCCCCCTCCTCTCCACCCGCGCTCGACGACAACGATGACGACAACAGCGGCGGCAACATGGCGACGGCGACGGCGACGAAGACGACGACGACCACCACGACGACGACCAGTACGACCACGACAGCAAAGACGACGATCACGATGTCGACGACGACGACCACGACCACGACGATGACGACGACGACGACGACCACGACGACGACCACGACGACGACGACGACGACGCCCTCGACGTCGACGACGACGACGACGACCAAGATCACGACCACGACGAAGACGATGACAACGACGACGACCATGGCTACGACGACGACGAAGACGACGACGACGACGCCCACGACGTTGACGACGACGACCTCGACGTCGACGACGGCGACGATGACGATGACGGCGGCAACGATAACGGCAACGACGACGACGACGCCGACGACGACGAAGACGACGACGACGAAGACGACGACAATTATGGCGACGACGACCTCGACGACGACGACGACGACGGCGGCGGAAGCGGTAACGGCGACGTCGACGACGACGACGCCTGCGACCACAACGACGACGACGACGACGACGACCATCACCACGACGACGACGACGATGACGACGACGACGAAGACGACGACAATTATGGCGACGACGACCTCGACGACGACGACGACGACGACGACGACGACGACGACGACGGCGGCGGCAGCTGTAACGGCGACGTCGACGACGACGACGCCTGCGACCACAACGACGACGACGACGACGACCATCACCACGACGACGACGATGACGACGAAGACGACGAAGGCGGTCACGGCGACGGCGACGGCGACGGCGGCCACGGTGGCGAAGGCGACGGCATCGACGACAGCGCCGGCTCTGCCGAGGAGCTCGCGGGGCGCCTGGGCGCGCTCGCGGTGCCCCTGCGCAGGCTGGACGGCTCCTCCGCATCCTGGGCGCGCCTGGAGCTCGTGGGCTGGCCTCGCCCTTCGCTTCTCTGCGGGGGGTGGGGGAAGAATTTTCCTATCACCCCCAGATCCCCTAAGTGCTGAAAGATGGAATGCGGAGGTCTTCCGTTGTTTTCGGCCTACGAAGGCTCTCGCCGGGCCCCCAGGACCGTCAAAGCATGACTCGGGATGAAAAGCCGGCCGCGGGGAAATGGTCGGGATTTCCCGGGCCTCGTGTGGAAAAAGCCACACATCGGATCTTGAAGTCTTCTTCGTCCTCCTCTACCATGTCCTACTTTTTCTCCCTTCCTCATCGTCCTCTCCTTCTATCCCTTCCTGCCGTCATCCGGGGCCACTCGGCACAGGCTTGCCACCGCCGTGGTGCACCCAGGGCGGCTGTTACTCGCGTTGTCCTGGGCGTACGTCCCGGTCGCGGGCCGTGGGGCCTCCAGACGGCTCCGGCAAGGCCCACCTACACATCTTTCTTTTCCTCCTCTGTCCTCCTGTCTCTTCTGCCCTTTCTGCCTCATCCTCTGTCCTCCTCTGTCCTCACTATTCTGCCCCTTTTCCTCGTCTTCCCTCACCTTTCTTCTCCTCCTTCTCTTCGTCGTCATTTTTGTTTCCCTCCTCACACCCCTTTGTTCTCCTCCTCATCTTCTCCTCCTCCTTCTCCTGCTCCTCCTGCTCCTCCTCCTCTTCCTCCTCCTCCTCTTCCTCCTCCTCCTCTTCCTCCTCCTCCCCGTTCCTCCTCCCGACCAATTTCGTTTCAAACGGGTATGTTTCCAGGCGGGCCAGAGACCCGTCGAGTCCGTCCTCAAGGCCTCTACTCCCTCTCCTCGATGATCGCCTCTCACTACCCCGACCCTATATGCCCCACCTCCCTCGGCGCAGATGAGACAAGTGACTCGGAGAGCTAGCCACCCCGCCTCTTTCGGAGCTGCAGCGCCCGTGGCCAGCATTCAAACAGGTGCTGCTCGCCTCAAAGCCCGCCTGGATTTGGGCTCACATCAAGACCATCGCGGGCGGTTGGAAGACCACACGCAGGGCCGAGGTCGAATGCCCAAGGACTTCCCTGTTTAGCTGTCCCCATTGTCCTGATTATTTACCACACTGGTTACCTCGCTTGTCCCCGCCTCCTTCGGTACATTTCCGTCGCTCGCTCTCCTCTCCCCTCCGATCCCATTGTTCGCATTCGGTTGGCGCTCCCTGAGTTGTACACCGCCCAGTCTGTGCGTGAACATGTCCATGAGTACACAGTGTTGTGCCTTCACGTGCACACCAAAGTCCAGCCTGCCGCGTTCCCTCCATAAACCTCCTCCACAGACGTAAAATGACTTCGCGCAGCTCAGGCTGCCATCAGCATGTAGATGAGATCGGCACCTGGTGCGCCCAATGGTACTTGCGCTCCTCCCCGTCCCCCCTCCCGCCTAACCTCTCCTCCTTCTCCTCCCACCGCTCTCCTCTCCTCCACACTCCCCCCGCCTTCCTCTCCCTGTTCCCCCTCCCCCCCTCTCCTCGAGGGAGGCGAGGGCGGGAGAGGACGGGGTGGAGAAGTGAGGAAAGGAGAGGGAAAGGGGGGAGCACAAGAGGAGGAGCAGGATGATGCGGAGGACGAGGAGGACGCGAGGAGGAGGAGGAGGAGGAGGAGGAGGAGGAGGAGGAGGAGGAGGAGGAGGGTAGGAGGAGGAGGAGGAGGAGGAGGAGGAGGAGGAGGAGGAGGAGGAGGAGGAGGAGGGGTAGGAGGAAGGAAAGAGAGGAATCTGAGGAGGGGGAGGAGAAGGCAGGAGGATGGGTCCGACGGTCCTCTTCTCCCTCGTTCCCTTCCTCCTCCTCCTCATCCTCTCCTCCTCCTCCCTCCTCCTCCTTCCTCCTCCTCCCCAGGCAGCGCACCTTTTGGCGACTTCGTTCGCCAGCACGTGCTCAAGCCGCAGGGGGCCACCGCTGGCGCCAAGCCGCGCGAGACGCCCCAGGCCGCCAGCATTTCCCCCAGGAGGAGAGGTGGACGAGGGGGGGGGGGAAAGGAGCGGGGGAGGGAGGAGGCAGGGGGGAGGGGCGGGGGGAGAGAAAAGGAAGAAGGGGAGGAGGAGGAGGAGGAGGAGGAGGAGGGAGGAGGAGGAGGAGGAGGCGGAGGAGGAGGAGGAGGAGGAGGAGGAGGAGGAGGAGGAGGGGGAGGAGGAGGAGGAGGAGGAGGAGGAGGAGGAGGAGGAGGAGGAGGAGATGGAGGAGGAGGAGGAGGAGGAGGAGGAGGAGGAGGAGGAGGAGGAGGAGGAGGAGGACGTGGAGGAGGAGCAGCAGGAGGAGGAGGGGCAGGGGGAGGGAGGAAGGGGGGGAACGATGGAAGACGGATCTTCTCCAGAGTGCGCCGTGCGCGAGAAGGCGGGGGGCGAGGGACGATCTGCCTGCACGGCATCAAGCAACGGCACGTGTTTTGGGTTTGCTTCCACGGCCGAGGGAGGGAGGGAGGGAGGGAGGGAGGAGTGGTGCTCCTCCGGGCGGCGGCGGACGCGCCAGCTGCCGGAGGGGGGGCCCACGCCCGCCTACGCCCGCGCGCGCACTCACCACCTGCAGCGAGCGGAGGAGGCACCGGGGGGAGGGGCAGGAGGGAGGAAGGGGCAGGAGGGAGGGAGGGAGGGAGGGGCAGGAGGGAGGGAGGGAGGGAGGAGGAGGCAGTGTATGGGGAGAGGGGGAGAGAGGAGCAGGGAGGGAGTGGGGCGGAGAAGGGATGGAGCGACCTCAGCCGCCGGGGGCCGAGGCAGCTGGGAGAATGGAGCGGACTGCAGCATCAGAGAGGGCTACCTGGGAACGGCGGGAGCTTAGATGGGCCAAGGGACATAGATAAGAGAGAGAGAGACGAAACACACATTTACTCACTCACTTACTGATCCACTTATTCACACATTCACACACACACACACGCGGACACGACGAATACGGTCGGACCGACATACAAGATCGATATCGGTTCGGGGAGGGTATCTTGATGTTCTTCGTGTTCATGGACTGTTCTTGTACACCCTGGGGGAAGGTACCCTCGGATGTTCTTCAGTTTGGCTGGCGGAAGGTCTCATGCTCTTGAAGGATGTTATTCTGACCTAGGTCCGGCTGCAAGCAATGAAGAGGAAGGACGCGTAGGGCGTAGGCGAGGAGGCAGGAGTAGAGGGAGGAGGGGAGGGATGCGTGGTGGGGGGGGGGGGGGGGGCGGGGCAGAACGCAGGCAGGGATTGACGCAGGCAGGCAGGCAGGCGGAGGGCGAGAACGGCCAGCCTGCACCTCGCAGCGGAGGAGGCCCTCCTGCCGTGACGCCGGGCACGCGCGACGTGGCCAGCTGGGGGCGTCCGCGGGACGCGCGCGGGGGGCCGCGCGTCTCTGGCGCGCTCCTGCGCACCGGGTGCGCGGGCCTCTCGTCGCGCGCGTCCAGCGGCATCCGGAGGCCAGGCTCGGAGGCATGGATGGGGCCGGCGAGCAGCGTGCCTCCCGCTCTCATCGGCTACACGTCGGAGTGGCTCTTCGCCGGAGTGACCTGTGGTGCGGGCCCACTGGGGCCCCCCGGACCGTCGAGCGCGATGCGACAGTGGCGTCTTGTGCGCGTGGGTTTGGCCCCCCCGCGGTTCCCCGAAAGCCGCGCACCAAAGGTCACTCTTACCCAGGGTCACTCTGGCGTGTCGCTGATCTCACCCCCCACGAGCGCCGCCGACGTCGAGCGTGTATCCACGCGCGCACGCGCGAACCCCGCCGTGGGTGTTTCGAGGTCCCTGGAGGTCCTGCCGGAGGATCGTGCAGGGGTAGAGGCGTCCAAAACTGTCGATCTCCCCTCCCTGCTCTCCCCCGAGCTGGCTCCCCCCTCCTCTCGCCCGTGGAGGCGTACAGGCCTGTCGATCTCCCCTCCCTGCTCGCTCTCGAGCTGGCCCCACCCTCCTCTCGCCCCTGGTGCGGCGTGGCTCGGTCGCGACCAGGGGAGGCCCGCGCGGCAGCTTTGGAGCTGCGGTTGCCGCGCGGGGCGTTGCAGCCAAGGCGCAGGAAAACAAACACTTCCTCCCTCTCCTCCTCTTCCTACTCCTCCTCCTCATCATCCTCCTTATCCTCCTCCTCCTCCTCCTCCTCCTCCTCCTCCTCCTCCTCCTCCTCCTCCTCCTCCTCACCCCTCCCCCTCCTCCTCCTCCTCCTCCTCCTCCTTTTCCTTGTTCTCCTCCTCCTCCTCCTCCTCCTCCTCCTGCGCCGGCGGCGGACGCGGGTCTTCCCGAGCCGGCAGACACCTCCGCAGCCCCAAAGAACAGGACGGCTCCCCAGGGGGTGGCCGACTGTCTCCACTCCCAGGGGGGAGGGGTCTGCCGACCGGGGCCTAACTATAGTTTCCGTTGCACGGGAGCGCGGCGGGCAACAGCAGGACACGGTAGACCCCTTCAGGATAAGCTCAGGCATTGTCTAGTCCGAAAGCATAAGATGAAGCAACTATTCATCTCATGGAAGTTGAATGGCAATGTGTTTAATGGTAGTGTAGAAGACAGCATGGAGGTCCAGGAAGAGAAAGCCAGTTTTGCGCTTGAGCTCTGCAGTTTTGCGCTTGAGCTCTGCAGACGCAAAGGAGACTGTGTGAATGTAATGAACAGCATGTTCGCAGGACCGTCCTGGCAAACCACCACACTGGCTGCTCAATCCACCACTCCAGCGAACAGCTAAAACACAGGGATGCGAGGGGACTTGGCCAAAACAGAGGTCCGTCTAAGACCCTGCAGAATAGGCAACCACCTAAGAGGGGGGCTCCTTCTGGGCCTCAGCATCCAGGTCCCCATGGAGCCCTCTGAGCGCGAAAGCCCGAATGACCGCAGACTCCCCTGGTCAGGTCCTTCAAGGCTGTTGCACTTGCACATGACCCGCTTAACCCCTCTCCTGAAGCGAACGAGCAGAAACGTCCGACAGTTATGTCAGATTTACGCAGCCTCACGGGATCAACCTTGAAAGCGTTGACGTGGCTGTTCAGAGGGAGCTGCCACGGCACACTGGAGCTCCGCGAGCCCCCCGGAGGCTTGCCCGCGCCAGCCCGCCAGAAAGCACCGCCAGCCTCCCAGTGCGCCAGCCGGCGTCGTGCCGCCGCTCCCGGCCGCCGCCCTCGCCAGCTCCGCGCCCAGGGGCCGCCCGGGCCAGCAAGGGCGCCCAGCGCCATCGGCGTCGCGCCGGCCCAGCGCGCAGCGGCAGTGGCCGCGCCCTGGCGGCGCCGCGCCTTCAGCGGCCACTTCTCGGCGGCCCAGTCCGGCGGCCCGCGGAGCCCGCCCGCGTCAGCTGGCCCTGAGGGGCGCGCCAGGCCCCGTGGTGCGTGGCCGCTAGGACGGCGTCCGCCGCGTGGCGCTGGAGCACGCTGCCTGGCGCCTGCTGCAGCCGGCGGATGGCCGCCGACTGCTCGGTGTCCAAGCGCGGGGCCAGCAGGAGCACCAGGGCCAGGGCGTCCTCGCAGAAGCGGCCGTGGTCCTCGAACGCGAACGGCACCGTCCGCAGTCCAGGGTAGCGCGTCCGCCTGTCGTTTTCCGCCGCCGCGGCCGCGGCCCTGGCGCGGCGGGCGGGCCCGCGCTTCAGCGCGTCCCTGGACAGCGCGCTGACGACGCTGAAGTCCATCCTGGTGGGCTCCGCCACCCGGGGAGCGGGGATGATCAGGTCCATGCGCGCTTCGGGCCGGCTGGCCGACGCGTGCGGCAGCACCATCTCCCTGTGGACCGTGCAGCTCATCTCTTCGCTCCACGCTGCCAGCACGTCACAGCCGGCGTCGTGGCGGCGGACCAGCCACCCGCCCACTAGGCAGGACCGCGCATGCTGCCCCTTCGGGTTCAGAACAGCTCCGCACACACTTCCGTCAGGGTGAATGTGCTGACACGTACACACACATACATACATACACACACACACACACCCGTGCAGCAGGGCAGGTTCTCGCCCAGGCGCGCGACCAGCACGACGCCGAACTGCGCGTCCGAGAGGCGGTGCTCAGGCCGGGATGGCAGGCCCAGCCAGGCGCTCGCCCCGGGTCCTTTGGCGCTGTGGCGAGGCTGCGAGCCCCTCGTCGCCCACGTGGACGGTCCCGTCCTCAAGGGCAGCCTGGAGGGTCCTCGTCGCCTCCGGGAGACACCTCCGCGCCCACGGGCTCACGCTGGCCAGCGAGCCGCCCCGTCTAGCCCGAGCCTCCGCTGGCAGCGCGGGAGGCAGAGGTGCAACGATGCCCCCCAGCCCGCTGGCCGCCCCCGCGAGGCAGAGCTTCCTCCCGCTCAGCTCCAGCCGCTGGCCGCATGCGTGCTGCACCTCCGTCAGGAGCGCTGCGTCCAGGGCGCGGGCCGCCGCCGACGGGATGTCGCACGAGCGCGCGCGGAAGGCGTAGTCGGAGCTCGTTCTGGCCCGCAGCCCCGCGAGGGCGAGCTGTCTGTCCAGCCTGGCGGCCCTGAGCCTGCAGTCGCCCCTGGGACGCCTCCAGTCGGGCCACCTCGGGGCTCCCCTCTGCCAGCATGCTGCCCGTCTGCTGGGGCCGCCGCCGGAGCGGCAGGCACCGTCGGCAACGCGCCGTGGCGGAGCACGAGGGCCCGCGGCTCCACCTCGGGGCGCGCAGGTAGCGCGGCCACGTCCACGCCGCGCGCCCTGGGCTTAACTTCGTTTTGGCCCTGTTGCCGCAGAGGCCAACCTGCGTGCACGCAGCTACATTTGCAAATGCTGCCTCCGCCTGTGCTGCCACCGGCGGCGCGCAGATGACATCCAAGTCGTCTTGGTAGCAGTAGCTGCGCGCTGGCTCGTTCACCGTCCTAGCCGCGCCCCCCACCGAGTCTGCCACGCGCTTGTAGCTGAGCGGGAGAGCTGGTTGGTGAGTGCGTCGCCCTGGTCGCCCCCTCGCTCCTTGGCGATTCCACGGCTGCAGCTCCGTGACCATTGCCTCGGCGGCCCGCGCAGCAGATGCAGCTGCTCGGTCATATTCGTTGTGCGCGTTGCTAGCGTCAAAGCTCAATTTGCAGCAACCGGGCCAGCTATCCAAGTCCTCTTCCTCTTCCTCCTCCTCCTCCTCCTCCTCCTCTTCCTCCTCCTCCTCCTCCTCCTCCTCCTCCTGTGGGAGGTCTCCAGGGAGCGCTCGATTTTGCTTTCAAGATTTACCATGAAGTGTGGGTTTGCCTGGATGGGCCCGCCAACGCAATGTACCAGCAGCATGTTGATATCAAGGATGCGGCGGTACGAGCTCTCGCCGCGTGATGCCGACGAACTTGAGCGCAACGACGTGCGATCCTCCTCCTCCTCCTCCTTCTCCTCCTCCTCCTCCTCCTCCTCCTCCTCCTCCTCCTGGGGTTCAGGATAGGCGCTGGTCTGCGGGCTGCTCCTCGGATTTCTGGATCGAGGGTTCTGCTCGTGGCAGAGGCTCACGGTGGCCAGAGGGGCCCTCTCGTTCCTTGCCAGGCGCCCCCCCTGTGGTAATTAGCGCGATGGCTGCACCACCCTCCTGGTTGAGCGGAGCGTGCCCGAGAGCTCCAGCCGGGGAGGAGGAGGAGGAGGAGGAGGCGGAGGACGATGAGGACGAGGACGAGGACGAGAATGAGGAGGACGAGAAGGACAAGGAGAAAGAGGAGGAGGAACATGCTCGTGGCCGTGGCTCGCCGTGGCCAGAAGGGCACCTTCACTCCCTCTTTGGCGCTCCTCCTGTCAGCACGACGGCTGCACTGGCCCCCCGGGGCCTCTGGGGCAGGTCTTCGACTTCTCGATCTGGCAGCAGTGCGCGGACGTCCTCGCGGATGAGGCGCCGCCGGGCGCAGGGGTGGGTGGGGGGCCTAGACGTCTGGGCGGGCCAGATCAGGGGAGCAACGAGATCCCCACATGAGGAGGAGGAGGAGGAGGAGGAGGAGGAGGAGGAGGAGGAGGAGGAGGAGGAGGAGGAGGATGAGGGGGAGGAGGAGGAGGAGGATGATGAGGAGGAGGAGGAGAGGTAGGAGGAGAAGGCGGAGGAAGAGGAGTGATGAGGATGAGGAGGACAAGGAGAATGAGGATGGGGCCGGTCGAGCCCCATCTTCTTCGTGATGCTTGGCGGCGGCGTCTGGGGTCTCAACGTGCTGGTTTCGGCCAGACCTGGGGCATCAGAGGGGCGGGAAGTCCTTTGTCGGGCCATGCTAGGACCGGGATAAATCGTGTCAGAGGGTTCCCGAACGTTTTCAGAGCTTTCCAGAGCGCTCTGGAACGGCCGCTGCGCCCGCTACATCCTCGAGAACTGCTGGACCTCAGAGATCCCCAATGTGTGTCGGTTCGATGTTGTCCTGGTGCTGGTTTCATCTTAGTCCCTTGTGCATGTCCTGCTCCCTTCTCCGAGGCGTCACCAGCGTCAAGGGTTGGCTTCCGCGCGCAGTTTGGACACCGCGCGTCCGCCCACCAGCACACTGAGAAATGTTGCCCGGGCGTTCTGCCGCAAGAGCGGAGAATAGGGGGAGCATCAAGCGACCCAAGAGGGGCAGGTCTGTCTAACGTGATGAGGAGTCAGCCCGCGCGGTCCTCCAGAAGACCGTCGGGAGCTTCTTCACACCCGTTCAGGTATTCTTGGAACCAGATTTTAGGCCTCCTCGGCCCAGGCCTTCCAGAGGCCAGACGGGGTCCGCGAGTAGTTGGGGTCGGAGCGTCTCGCTGCAGCGCCGATGCCTCGGCGATGCGGCTCGACGTGGAGCCCGATGTTCTCGGCCTGACGGCGACGATGCACGGCCGACGTCGGCGACGCATCGCCAGTGCAACGGCGATACTTCGGGGATGCGCCCCGATCTTCCGACCTCATCTGCTCGGACCCCACTTGGGAGGCCTCCGTCTGGGCCTTCATGGCAGCCTCCTGTTCGACTCTTGTGTCCCTTTTGGTTCCTTTGGGGGGGGCGCTGGGGCTTTCTTGTGGTCATTTCCAAGGCCGCCGACCAAAGAGAAACGTCTTTGATTAGCACAGCCCTGAGGAGCCGAGCAGATTGCCTCTTGGATCCCACCAAGGACTCTTGGGACGTTTGACCTGAGAGCCTCGCGGGCCCCTCTTGGGTCCCTCCTGCTCGTTCCCGAGGCCATCTTGAAAGCTCGCAAGCCGATCGTGCGTCACTGAAGCCACGACAAACTAGAATCAATGACATAACCTAGGTTTCAAACTATGGTGGCATTTTGGGGGCACCTGTGGGAGACTCGGGGGCCATCTTACGGATCTCTCTAGGCATGTTTCCTGGAGACATGTTTGAGACCATCCAGGCTAGCTCGGGCCATATTACGCCACGTTGCAGCCATCATATAGATCTATGTGGCGTTCATGGACCATCTTTGGTCCATCTAGGCTGATTTGGGACGCTATGGCGACAAGCGGCCCTCCCGGCCCAGACCCCCAGGGGACGGGGCAGCGGGATCAAGCTACCGTCAGCCGCAAGCCGTGTCGCTCACTCCCGCCCGCCCTGCCACCACAGAACTAGCACCCGAGTCTCAGCACAGGTAGCGGCCGCCATCGACAACCAGCAGGAGCCACTGCAGACGCCAGCCAGGTGCGCGATGCCCCGCGAGGTGCGCCGCACGTGCCAGGCGCGCCACATTGGGCAATATGTCGACCGCCCCTCCCCTGCTGACAAACACCAATGCAAAGTGACTTGGGGTTTGCGGGTAGTGCGTAGTGTGGTTGGGTGCGCACCCCGCAGCCATTTTGCATTTGTTCTTGACGGGTAGTGGGCCGCGCTTGCAGTTGTTATTACGCTCGCTCGTCCACAGTGCATTGAAGTACGGTCTGGAGCCCAGCTGGGGAACAACACTCCAATTCCAAGTCCAGCATGCGGAGCCAGTTGTCTCATCAGTTGGGGGCCCAGCGACGCCCACAATTTCCATTCTGCATCGTGGAGGTATCCTGAATGTTGGTTGCAACGCGGGCGCGTCTCTGGCGTGCAGACTAGGAGAGGCCAGGGGGAGTTGGCGTGAAGCCACGCGAACATCAGTCATATAAGGAGGATTATTTCATTGATCAACGCATGCAATATTTCCAAGCTGGCGTACATCATCGAAGCTCTGCGTCGGCGGACAAAAAAACGGAAAGGGATAAACGTGACGCGTTCCAGGTCCAACGTACCCGCAAGATCTTGAAGACCCCTCACTCAATGATCTCCCACGTGTCCAACGAAGGCGCGCGGCAACAATCAAGGCAGCGCCGCCTGAACAGCCATGTCCTGATCTAGCAGCTTGACTTGTTTGGGAAAGTTCGTAGCATGCCAGATTTAGAAATTCGCAGTGCAGTCTCTACCCCCAGGGGCTGTGATCCGCCCGTCTTGCATGGAAGAAGGTCACGAGGCCGCCCCAGATTGAACCATGCGATGCACGAGCCCGCTTCGCAAGCACGCGCAGCCTCTGGCATATCTATGGACGTTCGGCTCGGGCCGATCTATATTAGAGCAGCTCGGTGGAGAAGCGCTGCACAGACATCTGTTTCTCGGAACGCCTATGTGCCATGCTTGCCGTAATTCGATTTGTGTTGTTTAGTCGATGCGCCGTGCGGCGCGGCTCCATTGACTGACTGTCAGTAGGCCTGCACAAAGCCGTCCCTGCAGAAAAAGTGATCGCGGGGCGTCCGCGCATAATCCAGTTTCTGGTGCAAAATGCACTTTGCACAAGGAATTGCTGGTGGGTGTTAGCGTTGCGCGCAATGGGCAATATGCCAGCACCCCTGCCACACACAAATGCCACACACACACACACCAATGCCGAGCATGTTATGGATTTTCTGCAGCGCGAAATTTCGTAAGTTTTTGACAAAGATGGCGGGAAGGGGTGCCCGCATTGTCCCGGGCTTGTCGCAGGTCGGACGGTCGGACTAGGGAGAGTGTGTTTATTCAATCGCTTCGCTCACTCCGCCGGCCCATGCTGTGCCATCGTAGGCGGTTGGTTGCGCGTTCGTGACTTCTTGAGGCCGTTTGGGGGCTGCTTGGGGGCCTCTTGGAGCCTCTTTTTGGACCTCTTGGGGGCCTCGTGCGGCCTCCAGGGAACCTCCTGGGTTCTCTTGGGGGCCTCTTGGGGCCTGGCCTCCTGGGGGCCTCTTCGGGCGGACGTCTTGAGTTGGTGGTTCGTGTTCCTCCTCTGGGGGCCCTCTTGGGGCTGTCTTGGGACCCTCTTGGGGCGCCTCTCGGGCCGTTCTGGGGCCATCTTGGACCGTCTTGGGGCCCTCTGTGGGCCCTCTGTGGGGCCTCTTGGGCCGTCTTGGGGCTGTCTTGGGGGCTTCTGGGGCCATCTTGGAGCGTCGGAGGCCCAAAAACGCGAAAACACAAAGAAGATAGAAACACACAAAGTAAGGAAATGATGTGTGCTTCTTTTGGCCCTCTTTGAGGTCCTCTTGGAGCGCTGTTGGGGCTTCTTTTGGGGCCTCTTGGGCCGTCTTTGGCCATGTTGGGCGTCTTGGAGCGCCTTTTCGGCGACTCGGCCCTTTCTTGGGCTGTCTTGGGCCGCTCTTGGTGCTCTGGGACGCTCTGAGGGCGGCGCTCAGGGGTAAAACAATTTGTTGCTTGAGTTTCCCGGCACATTGCTAGGAACTTGCCAGGGATTTGCCCGGAATTTGCTGGGGTAGTTTTCGCACGGGGACCCCCAGGGGCCGCCACGCGCGCGCGAACTAGACATTTTCTAAGCAGTTACCGGAGATCTTAGCATGCCTCTGGCCCGATGTGCGGGCGAATTTCCTAAAACGAGCGCCACAAGTCAAGTCGCTCACTCCGACCCGCATGTCCACCACATATTCAGCACCCAGTGCTGAGCACAGGCAGCGGCTGCAATCCGAGAGGCAGCAATGAGGAGCCAATGCAGGCAGCAGGTGATACACACGCTCGTAAGGTGCGCCACTTGTGCAATGTGCGCCCCGCTTATCAGGTGCCCAAGGTACCCTTGAACACCACATGCGCCAGTTGCGCCACGCACGCCAGTTTCTCGATCGACGTTTGCAGAGTGCGCCAGAAGCGCCAGCGCACGTCACAGATAGACACGCATACGCAGGCACACACACAGACGCGCACACACAGACGCACACACGTTCACACACACACACGTTCACACACACACACACACGCAAACACACACACACACACGCAAACACACACACACACACACACACACACACACGCACCCATCGCGCACACATCGGACAACATGTCGACCCCCTCCGCCATGCTTTACAACACCTATGCGAAGCAGCCGTCGGGTGGCCAGCGTGGCGTATTGTTTGTACAATTATCCAGCACTTCGCACGTATGTTTAGCATGGGCGGTGGATCAGCGCACGGCTGAAACATTGTCCGACCACCCATCCCTCGTCATCCCAGAACAAGCTCAACTGCGGAATGATGGGGGACGCACATGATCCATCGTTTGACGTAATTTGCGTCTTGCTTTTTGAAATGAATTTTGTGGGCACACGAAACCTGGTCGGCGGCCACGAGAGGCGTTTATGAAGTAGGAACAGCGATCAAGCTCCCAGAAGGACTCAAAGGAAGGCCACGAGCTGCCTCGCTCACTTTCGCCCGCCTCCCGACGCAGAGTAGCAATCGAGTCCCAGCATGGGCTTGCGAGATCTACACTGCGCCACCTCGTTCAAGCATGAAATGAAGGACGGGGGCGAGGGGGGGGGAGGGGGACTGGACAAGGGGGCAGGTTAAGAAAAGCAAGGTCAGGGCTCCATGATGGTGGACAGAAGCTCCGACGGTCGTCACGAGTCTACTTGCCCTGGGGATACGTGCTATTGCAGGCGGCGAAGCCACGGGTACCTCACGACCCAAGAGCCCATGAGTGTCGTTGGCCCAAGCGTAGTGGCAGAGACTTCTCTGACGAAGGGACACCCAAGCCTGCGACCGCTGACAATGAATGATCTCTGGTATGACACTACGACTGCGGTATCTCTTCTTTTGTTTGTTTTTGTCACGTTGTACCTGTTCTATTGGACATCAGAGGTGGTTTTCTTTTGGTCTTACTTTCTTATTCTCATCATCTGGCGGGGGTTCTTGAAATGCAGGCGCCAGGCCCGGAAGCGCATCGACAGATTGGAGCGGACGATCATCACGAAAATAGTATGGCCCGTCATGTTGCAGTGCGGGCTCAGAGAAGTCGCAGAGGACCACCTCGCAGTAGGCAGCCCCTTCTTCGAATGGTGGTTCCTCGCAGCGTTCGTATTGACCACTTTCGTGTTTCATACCTTCAGGGACATCGTAATTTACGATTATTACGGGATGAATTTCTTGTTGAATAACAACCACGATGGTTTCAGTTTCGATGCGGCCTTGGAGGACAACTTCGCCAACGTTCTGAACTCGAATGGCGATTCGTTTCTCACTTTTGACAACCAGACGCTGTCGAAACAGGAGTTGAGGCAAGCGCTGTCGATACCAAAGTGGCTGAAAGGCCTAGCAATGGCAGCGCCATTCGTGGGCATTGTAGCCACGGCTGTCTTCTTGGTGCACTTCTACACATTCGTCCAGGGGTGGAAGAAAGAGAAGGAAAACGACGCTTCAGGACGAGCGATGGGAAATTCATTGAGTAATGCCGAAGACCTTTGCCTCTTTGGCGAGGAAGTGCTTGTTACGCCAGTTGGCGATGACCCGCAGCCCAGACGCGGAACAGTGGAGGAGGTCGATCTTCATGACGACGCGATGTTCTACAAGATCAGGTTCGAGGACCGCGCTGATTGGTTTCCAAAGGGCGCCGTCAAAAACTTGGGCACGGGAGAGGAGATCAATCCTTGGGTCGCCGACACACAGGAAGAATTGGCCTGCCTCGTGGTGATGATGCCCTTGGCCTTTCTCGCCTTGAGCATGAGATCTCTGATCCACGTGCTCCAGGTGAAGCGTTCCAAACAGGGCCTTGCCTTCGAGGATCGAAGGAGTTGCCATCTCTTCCTCCGCGGAAGGCGGCGGAAGCAACACGAAGCCGCCTCCGCCAGCGGAAGTCTGCGGAAGGGCAGCGGAAGGGCGGCGGAAGGTGGCGGAAATAACAAACGCGTCCCCAAGAGATGACAGCATTATTGGGGTCAGGGTTTCCGGGATCCGCCAGGTGATGACAGGCACCGGCCTGGCAGCGCACCCAGACCAGAGTTGGAGGGACTTCGAGCTGCCGTACATGGGCACCGCCAAAGCCGATCTCGAGGTGGCGTCCCTCACCCAGTACTTTGTCGTGGCGGCCTTCGGCTGCCTCTGCACCTACTTCTTCGGCTGGGGCACAATGAACAAGGAGATCATCCGTCGCGAGCTGAACTACAGAGGGTGCAGCACCTCATACAGTAGCGACATAAAGGAATTCCAGGATAAGCTTGAACGCAGAAGCGAGGAACATCGAAAAACCTTCTCCTGTGTTGGCTTGCTGGGCGTGTGGGGGTATGTTCTTGTCGGTGTAATCCGAAGTCTGACGAACGTTATGTTTCTTGTCGCCGCAGAGATGATTCCGGAATATAGGCAGTGGGCGACGGCAAAACATATCATGATCATGACGGAATTGCAGCCTGGCCTCGTCGTCTCCATGGTCCTTTGCGTCGTCAACATGATCATGGTCTTGCAAATGAAGGAGCTCAAGTCTCCTGGCGCGTTCGGTGAGAGCGCAGCGTTCAAGTTCTTTGCTTGTCGGGGCCTGCTGATCTTGTCCGACTTCCAGCCCTCAGTGCTGAATTTCGCAAAGGATAATCTTCCGAATGGTTGGGGTCCGAGCAGCAGCTACCAGGTCCAGCTCTTACATGCGTCGCTCATGCTGTTCGAGTGTTTCGGCATCATCCTTTTCAATAGCACGTATTGGACGACGACAGTAAAACACACTGTGAAGAGATCGATCACTAGTTTCGACCGGCATATGCAAAGGTATGGCTCGTCTCTACTCGATGTCGCCAGGACCAAGGAGCCTTGGCTGGCGGGCCTGCCCCTTGCCTTCATGGTGCTGACACTGATTTTGGCTACCGCTTTACCAGGGGACGCTGTACGCAAACAGCCACAACTCTTCATAGGGATCATCTGCTTCGATCTCCTCGTCAAGTGGTTCGGAAACTTGTTGTGCTTGCCCGTGCTTGTTTATCGCGTCTACGTCTTCTGGCCAAAGCCCGACTTCCTCACGATGAAGCACGGTTCTCGCATCTCGTGGGTGCCCTCGAGTTGGGTCTTCGGGCCACTGGTCATTTGGCTAGTTATGGGAGCGCTCCGTTGGATCGGTTTTCTGCTCATGCATCCGTACAGCGACGGTTTCTCAGACCACGTGTTCTTATTGATGAGCATGGTCGCTATGATTCAGATGGAGCTCATTCTTGCGCACGTCGCTGTTGCGAGTCGCGGAGGGCAATCCTGCGGTGGCTTGAAGGTGATTGCGATCGCTTGGATCCTCTTGCTTCTGATTTGTTGGGAGGCCTTCAACTCGGCACGCTACTTCCAGTTCTCCACCGCCGCGACGTGGATAGCTTTTCTGGCCGGCCTTGTCTTTCTTCCCATAGTGATCAAGTGGTCCCAGCTCGTCGTGCACTCAGGGGAGGAGTTGAGGAGCCAGCGCCGTGACGATGATGGGAACCAGTGCCTTCTAGAGGGTATGTAGCTCCGTCTTCTGAGGAAACTCGCAAGGCGCAGTGTAGCTGAAGGCGGCGCCGCAGCGTTGGCGCTCGGAAAGCTGCTCGAGGCACCCGTTCACGATTTTCGGTTGCCTTGCCAGGATGGGGGGGAGAGAGAGAGAGAGAGAGAGAGAGCGAGAGAGAGAGAGAGAACAAAAGAGAGAGAGAGAGGGGGAGTAAAGAGAGAGAGAGGGGCAGAGAGGGAGAGAGGGAGATATATATAGAGAGAGAGAGGAATAGAGAGAAGGAGAGAGAGAGAGTGAGAGAGAGGGAGAGAGCGAGTGAGCGAGGGATGGAGAAAGAGGGAGCAAGACGTGCATCGAGCAGTGTTCCAGTCCCAAGCGCTGCGGATGTGCGAGTTGTTGAGGGATCGTTGGCCGGTAGTTGAGCCAGCGCCCCCGCGCTCGTCTCGAGTGACAGCTTACCAGGTTGCCCTGTTTCCCATAGAAGCAGGCCGCGGAAGCTTGCCGTGGACAGTCCGTGCTGCCACCATGGAGTTGGCCATATATCGGTACGATCGACCTGGGTACGGAAAGAATGGGCACGACGACCGACAGCATGTCCTGGTCATTTTGAGCAGGACTCGCTGTCGGTGTCGCCGCGAACGTGCACCATTTGAGACGGAAAGCCGCCTGCCCAACGGCGGCCAGTGTCGGTTTTGGAACACATTCGCTGTTGGGTATCGTAGTACCCAGTTTTTCCTTACCCGTTACGGGCGCCCAGCTGTAGGAGAGTTTGCTTGCACTCATAATTAGCGCGCGTGAGCAACACGCAGATGCACGGTCGTTGCTAGATCATTCCTGGCGCCACGCATCTAGACATTTGTTTGTCGCAGCGATGTGGGTCACAACGCGTTCGGGCTAGAGCGGGGCATCGATTGGCACACTGCTTACCTGTGCTCTGGGAAAAGCAGAATAACGGCCGCGGAGGAGGAGGAGGAGGAGGAGGAGGAGGGAGGAGGAGGGAGGAGGAGGACGGCAGCGTCTGATTGACAGGCTCCAGTGCCATCAGTGTTCAGCTTGCAGGAGCCGCCGCGCGAATACATTCTACTGTCGTGGCTGCTCTTTGTGCGACGAGTTGGAGCTGAATGAGGGCTGGGTATCGCCTCCGCCTGGCCACGGCCGCTTTGGGGACGACCCGTCCGCGTCAACGTCACCACCAGTTTCCATTCCCTTTCTGCTCCTCCTCTCTCTTACTCTCCGCCAATACGGGGACATCCGCACGGGGACGCAATAGGTTGACATGGGGACGGGGATATGAGAACGGAAAGGATGACGAGGATGATCAAGAAGTGGTGGAGGCACCATGGCCAACGGTGAAATGAGGCCCGTTTGTACTACAACGGGTTTCGTTCGCTTTGAAATGCCAGCGAGAAGGCATTGAAAGCGTTGGCCTTCTCAGTGTGCGCGGTCGCTCTCTCGGTGGGGTGCGGGGGCTGGGGGTCTGGCTGTATGGTCGTGCGTCTCCCGAGCGTCGCTCGCCGCCAAAGTGGGTCGCGCCTCTTTCCACCACACGTGACGGGCCAGACTCTGCGAGCAAGGCACAGCAGCAGCAGGATCTGCCAGGCCATTCGGCCACATCCTCTCCCCACGCTGCCCTCCTGCATCCAGCTTCCACCAGGCTCCCAGAAAGGAGCCCCGCGCCAGCCTGGCTCCTCCCGGCGGGGCCCTCGTGATCCCCGCCGGCGCCGACCCCCATCGGCAGCACTCCTGGAGAAGAGTCCCAGCCTCCCCAGCGGCCGCGCGCGAAATCTTTCCCGATCCGGCTCCGCCGGGGGGATAACTGCGGAGCACGAGCCCACCGCCAGGGTTCGCGCTCCGCGGCGGCGCTCCCCGCGAGGTGGCGATCCCCAAGTGGTTCGCGACGGACCTCTTCTCGCTCGCCTCCGCCCGGATGCAGCCCGTCACCGGCTCCGCCTCGCCCACGCTGTTCCTCGCGGCGGGAG